GGCCCTGGCTGGATTCAAACCGGCCAGCTTAGGTGTATGTGGCTGGTGCCTTAGCTGCTTGAGCCACAGGCACCAAGCCAGGCCACTGTTTCTTAACCATTTTTATCTCATGGGACACTTGTATAATTAAACCTGTGGTACACAATTCAAGTATTTTTTTTTTTTTTTGAGACATATTCTCACTTTGTCACCCTTCGTAAAGTGCCGTGGTGTCATCGCTCACAGCAACCTCAAACTCCTGGCCTTAAGTGATTCTTTTGCCACAGCCTTCCAAGTAGCTGGGACTGTAGGTGCCCACTGCAATGCTGGACTATTTTTACAGACGGGGGTCTTGCTCTGGCTCAGGCTGGTCTCGAACCCTTGAGCTCAGGGCAATCTACCCACCTCAGCCTCCCAAGTGTTGGGATTACAGGTATGAGCCACCACGCTTGGCCAGTTCAATTATTTTTATCCAATAAAAAAAGTGAAAAAAAGAATATACTTAGTGTGCATTGAACTTCCTAAGTAATTTCATTAATAATCTTTTTAAAGTTTTGAGGCACACCGAAGATCCTTTAGTGACACAGCAGTGCACCGTAGCAAACCAGTTGAAAATCAGTGCATTAGGGTTTTCTTTTTGTTTTGTTTTGTTTTGTTTTTTGACATAGAGTCTTACTTTGTCACCTTTCATAGAGTGCTATGGCATCATAGCTCACAGCAACCTCAAACTCCTGGGCTTCAGTGATTCTCTTGCCTCAGCAGCCTTCTGAGTAGGTGGTACAGGTGCCCCCCCCCCCAAAGATGGGCTGTTTTTTGACACAGAGTCTCACTCTTGCTCAGGCTGGTCTCAAATTCCTGAGCTCAGATAATCCACCCACCTCAGCCTTCTAGAGTGCTGGGTTTACAGGCATGAGCCACCACACCCGGCCTATATTAGGTTCTTAGGGTTGAAGCATCTATAACAATTTTTTTTTTGGTAAAATGAAACAAATTCTTTTGGGTACATGCATTGAGATTACTGTGATTATTGTGAAGTTGTGATTCATAGTAGGTAAGTTATTGTCTCTACACTCTGCCTCATGATACTTATATGAGCCCAGTGGATATTGCAGAGGTACAACTTTAGACTCTCACACCCTCAAACGTGCATCACTGTAGGTGAACATGCTCTGTGTGATTGTATTTCTATATGCTTCTCTCCTGTGCCAACTATGCCCCTTGGCATGCCCCTGAATTTTCCTAAAAGCAAAATGAACAGGGTGGCTCCTGTGGCTCAAGAAGTAGGGCACTGGTCCCATATACTGGAGGTGGCGGGTTCAAACCCGGCCTCAACCAAAAAAAATTTTTTTTAAAAAACTGCAAAATGAACATACATTACTATGTAGTTATTATGAAATAAAGGAATGTCTGGGCAATAAGGATCAAAATAACTCTATTTCCCTTTATCTTTATTGGACTCAGTGACATAATTCTTAAATATCCCTCATGCATTTCCTTTAAAGAATTAACACTGGTGGCTCGGCTCCTGTGGCTCAGCGGCTAGGGCGCTGGCCACATACTCCAGACCTGGCAGGTTTGAACCCAGCCCCAGGCTGCCAAACAACAATGGCAACTATAACAACAACAAAAATAGCTGGGCATTGTGGTGGGCACCTGTAGTCCCAGCTACTTAGGAGGCTGAGGC